AAAGGGGCCCCGGCCCCCCAAAACTCTCCCTTTTTTTTTTCCCGGGGGCAAAAACCGTTTTCAAAAGGCCAAAAAAAAAGAGGCCAGTTTTGGGAGGGGGGACCAAAAAAAAAAAAAGGGGCAAGTTTGGCAGAAAAAAAAAAAAAAAGGGAAAAAAAAAAAAAGCCCCAGTGGGCCTGGGGGAAAGGCAAAAAAGAAGGTTTTCAAAAAAACGTTTTTTTTTTTGGGGGAAAAAAAAAAAAGGCAAAAAAAAAAAAGGTGGGGGGGGAACAAAAAAAGGGAAAAAAATTTTTTGCAAAAAAGGGAAGGGGGACCAAAAGTTGGGGGGTCTTTTTTTTTTTTTCAAAAAGTGGGCTTTTTTTTTTTTTTTTGGAAAAAAGAGGAAAAAAAGGGGCCCAAAAAGGGGTTTTTTTTGGGCCAGGCAGGGGTTTTTTTTTTTGGGGGGGGAAAAAAGGGGGATTTTACAGGCGCCAAAAACCCAAAAAAAAAGAAAAAGACCTTTTGAAAAAAGGGGCCCCCCCCAACCCCCTAAAACCCCTTTTTTGCCTTTTTTGGGGGCCAAGGGGGCAAAAAAAAAAAAAAAAAGCCCAAAAGGCCTTTGGAAAAAAAAAAAAAGGTGAAAAGGGGTAAGGGCCCTGGGGGGCTTTTTTTTGTTTTATTTTGAAAAATTTTTATTTTATTTGGGGGGAAAAAAAAAAAATTTGGGGGGCCTTTTTTTTTTTTGGCCTTTTCCTGGGGAAAAAAGGGGTTTCAACCAAAAAAAAAAGGAAAAAAGGTTTTTTTTTTCCATGGAAAAAAACAAAGGGGGTTTTTTTTTTTACAAAACCCGGGCAAGGAAAGGGGGAAAAGGGGGGAAAAAAAGCCGGAAACCGGGGGGAAAAAGGAAAGGGAAAAAAAAAAAAAAAAAAAAAAAAAAAAAAAAAAAAAAAAGGGGGTTTTGGCGTTTAAAAACCAAAAACTTGGGGGGTACCTTGGGAAGGCGGGCCAAAAAAAAGCCTTTTGGGGGCTTTTCCTTTTTTTTTGGGGGTGGGGCTTTTGGCTTGGAAAAAAAAAAAAAAGGGAACCCAGGGGGGGGGGGGGCCTTTTTTTTTCCTTTTTTTTTTTTGAAAAAGTAAACGGCCAAGGGCGGCCAAAAACCCCCAACCCAAACCCCACAAAAAAAAGGGGAAAAAGGGGCCCCCCAAAAGGGCGTGGCCGAAAAAATTTTTTGGGAATGCCCTTTTTTTTTCCCTTTTTTTCCAGGGCCAAAAACCCCCCCAGGGGGGAGGGTTTTTTCCTTTTTTCTTTTTTTTTTTTTTTTTTCCCCCCCAAAAAGGGGGCAAAAAGGGGGTTTGAGGGAAAAATTTTGTTTTTGTTTTTTTTTTTTTTTTGGCCAAAGGGTTTTGTTTTTCCCCCCTTTTTTCCCCGTTTTTCCCCCCCAGGGGTTAGTTTAAAACACCCAGGTTTTTACGAAAAAAAGAATTGTTTTTTTTGGAAAAAAAAAATTGGGGGCACCGGGGGGCCGTTTTTTTTTTGGGGCACCAAAAGGGGGCCCCCAAGGGGCAAAAAAGGGGGGGGGCCTGGGGGGGCCTGGGCTTTTTTTTTTTGGGGTTACCAAAGTTTTTTAAAAAGTGCTTTTTTTGTTTTTTTGGTCCTTTTTTTTGCCAGGGGCGGGGCAAACAACATTTGGTTGGGGGGAAAAAACCCCAAAAAAAGGGGGGGTTTTCCATTTGTTGGCAAAAAAAAAAAAAGGCCCGGTTTTTGGGGGAAAAATTTTTTCCCCCTTTTTTTGGCCAAGGGGTTCAAAAAGAAAAAAAAAAAAGGTGGTTTTCAAGGGCCCACCCCAAAAAAAAAAAACAAAAAAAAACATAAAAACTTGAAATGGCAAAGGCCAAAAGGGGAAAAAAAAAGGATTTTTTTTGGGCGGGGGGCAAAAAAGGGGGGGGAAAGGTTTTTTTTTGGGGCCCCTTAAAAAAAAAAGGGGAACCCCACAACAAAAACCCTTCCAAGGGCCCAGGGGCCTTGGTTTCCAAAAAGTTTTTTTTTCAGGGGGGGAAAAAAAAAGGCGGCGGGCAGGCGTTTCCCTTTTTTTTGGGAAAAGGGGGGCAAAAAAAAAAAAAAAAAGGGGGTGGGGCTCACAAGTCCCGCCCAAAAAAAAAGGTTCAAAAAAAAAAAAAAAAAAACGGCCCTTGGAAAAAGGGACGAGGGTGGGCCAAAAGGGCAAGCCAAAAAAAAAAAGCCCCCAAGGGGAAAGGGGGCCTTTTCGGAAGGCGGCAAAAAAAGGTGGTGGGAACAGCATGCACCGGCCGCCACCCCGAGGGTCAGCGCAGGCTCTGGTATAGTACGCCGGAGGTGAAGAGGGCGTTGGCGGCCAAGCTCACAGCCAGGAGGCCCCGGACCATGGAGGGGCCGAAACGACCTGCGATGCAGAGAGACCTGGTCAGAGACGCACAGGGTGCAGCTGAGCAGCAACCCCTCCCTCCATCCCCAGGATGCGGCTGGGAAGGCCTCAAGGCCCCGCCCAGGTGCTCCCCAGGCTGGGAGGACCCCCAGTTCTTCTCAAGGCCCAAAGACCACCAGCCAGGAAGACCTGCCCAAGTCACCTTGGCTGAACCCAGCCCGGAAGGCGTGTCCTCGCCTGAGCCACCAGGCAGGCCCTGGGCCGGGCTGTCACATGCTTGCACCTGGGTGAGGAAGGGTAACTGTGACATCTTCTTGCAGACAAGGACAATACGACTTCAGGGGGGGAGCACCCTGCTCAGGCCCCGAGCTAATCAGCAGCTGGCCCAGGTCCACCCACCCTAAGCCTGAGCCTGCACTGTCACACGGCCTCACGCTGCAGGGCCACCACGCAGATCCCACTGAGCTGGGGCAGCACTGGCTTCCAGAGCAGCTCAAAAGGATCTTCTCAGGAAAATCCCCACTTGCTCATCTGCCCAGCCCTCCCAGGGCGGGAGTGACGGGTGTCCATCTGAGCTCGCGCCCTGGCCTGGTCAGCAAGCAGAGGCGCTGGGGGTGCGCGGCCCACATAGGCTGCAGCCCGGCACTAAGCCGCCCTGAGTGTCTCAGGTTCTCCAAGAACCCTGGCCGTGACGGCGGTCCTCAGTGCCTGTGCTGTCCCATACAGCACCACCGGGCATGCCGAGCACTTGGCACGTGGGCTGGTGCGACTGAGGAGCTGAAGTGGTAACTGTCAGTGGCTCCGCATCTACCGGGGACGGCGGCTTCAGACCCAGCCCCCACCCCCCACCGGGGTAAAGACCTTTCCAGGCGGCGGCCTCCTCTGCGCAGCCCCTGGTGGTGGTGTCACACCACGCAGGTGGACGACTGGGAGGAGTCGTTCTCTTTTTTGATGGAGCGGCTGCTGCAGGCACTGCCTCCTTCCGGCCGCAGTCTCGCATCTGCAGAGAGAAGGGCGTGCGTCTCAGCGCGTGCTCACAGCTGCCCCCGGGTCAGACGTGGGGCGGCTCTACTTCCAATCCCAGGACAGTCCTCAGAAGTGGTGACCCAGCCTGTCACAGCTGGCTCCCCCGACCCCAGGCAGCAGGGGACCAGCTTCTTGTTTGGATCCCAGCTGTGTGGCTGCACAGTGCTGTGGGGTGGCTGGTTTTAGACCAGGAGCTGCAAACTCCAATGCCAACAGGCCCTGGCCAATGACGACGGGGCAGGGGTGGCAGAGCCTGGGGCATGGACCCGACTGCGCTCCACCTCTGCCTAGTCTGGCTCTGTGACTTGGAACCCTCTAGGACATTGCCCTCTACTGGCTGATTTTATTTTCTTCTTTTGCACTTGACCTTCAGGGTCCTCTGTTGCTTGGGAGTGATTGAGAACACATCACACACTGCCGGGCTGTGTCTGGTCACAAGACTTTTTTTTTGCTCAAATGGTGCTGTCCTACAAAGCATTCAACGCTTTTACTTAGGCCCCAACCTTTAAAATCTACACCTTCCACAGGAATTTGTGAATTTCCTGTCTCCTACACTGTCGGCACATGTGGCCACACTGGCCTGGATGCTGGCCAACAGAGGTGGCAGCGCAGTCGGGGTCCATGCCCCAGGCTCTGCCACCCCTGCCCCGTCGTCATTGGCCAGGGCCTGTTGGCATTGGAGTTTGCAGCTCCTGGTCTAAAACCAGCCACCCCACAGCACTGTGCAGCCACACAGCTGGGATCCAAACAAGAAGCTGGTCCCCTGCTGCCTGGGGTCGGGGGAGCCAGCTGTGACAGGCTGGGTCACCACTTCTGAGGACTGTCCTGGGATTGGAAGTAGAGCCGCCCCACGTCTGACCCGGGGGGCAGCTGTGAGCACCGCTGAGACGCACGCCCTTCTCTCTGCAGATTCGAGACTGCGGCCGGAAGGAGGCAGTGCCTGCAGCAGCCGCTCCATCAAAAAAGAGGACGACTCCTCCCAGTCGTCCACCTGCGTGGTGGACACCACCACCAGGGGCTGCGCAGAGGAGGCCGCCGCCTGGAAAGGTCTTCACCCCGGTGGGGGCTGGGGGCTGGGTCTGAAGCTGCCGTCCCTGGTAGATGCGGAGCACTGACAGTTACCACTTCAGCTCCTCAGTCGCACCAGCCATGTGCCAAGTGCTCGGCATGGCCGGTGGAGCTGTATGGGACAGCACAGGCACTGAGGACCGCCGTCACGGCCACGGGTTCTTGGAGAACCTGAGCACACTCAGGGCGGCTTAGTGCCGGGCTGCAGCCTGTGTGTGCGTGCGCACCCCAGCGCCTCTGCTTGCTGACCAGGCCCAGGGCGCGAGCTCAGATGGACACCCGTCACTCCGCCCTGGGAGGGGCCGCGCAGATGAGCAAGTGGGGATTTTCCTGAGAAGATCCTTTTGAGCTGGCTCTGGAAGCCAGTGCTGCCCCCAGCTCAGGTGGGATCTGCGGTGGTGGCCCTGCAGCGTGAGGCCGTGGTGACAGTGCAGGCTCAGGCTTAGGGTGGGTGGACCTGGGCCAGCTGCTGATTAGCTCGGGGGCCTGAGCAGGGTGCTCCCCCCCTGAAGTCCGTATATGTCCTTGTCTGCAAGAAGATGTCACAGTTACCCTTCCTCACCCAGATGCAAGCATGTGACAGCCCGGCCCAGGGGCTGCCTGGTGGCTCAGGCGAGGACACGCCTTCCGGGGCTGGGGTTCAGCCAAGTGACTTGGGCAGGTCTTTCCTGCTGGGTGGTCTTTGGGCCTTGAGAAGAACTGGGGGTCCTCCCAGCCTGGGGAGCACCTGGGTGGGGCCTTGAGGCCTTTCCCAGCCGCATCCTGGGGGATGGAGGGAGGGGTTGCTGCTCAGCTACACCCCATGTGCGTCTCTGACCAGGTCTCTCTGCATTCGCAGGTCGTTTCGGCCCCTCCATGGTCCGGGGCCTCCTGGCTGTGAGCTTGGCCGCCAACGCCCTCTTCACCTCGGCGTACCTATACCAGAGCTTGCGCTGACCCTCGGGGTGGCGCCCGGTGCATGCTGTTCCCACCACTGCCGGCCTCGGAGCCCTCCCTGGAGGGGCTGCTGCCCTGGCCCTCGTCTCCAGGGCCGTTGACCTTGCGGGACTGTGAGCCACTGCTCTCAGGACGCCTGCGCCGCCTCCCCTGACTGACAGCTGGGCTGAGTGTGGGTCTGGGGCCACTCTGCCCGCCCATCTCCTTGGCTGCCATCAGTTATGTGTTTGGTGCTGACACTCTGACCCTGAAGCCAGGGATCCCCACGGGCTGCATGACCCTGGGGTCCCCACCATTGTGCCCCGCCTGGCAGGACACAGCACTACTGTAACCCAGCAGCCCAGGCTGCCCTGGGCCCTGTGCCCACGGCCGTGCTCACATCTTTCGTACTGTACTCCCCTGGGGGAACGGAGGGGGACAGCCCTGGGCCACACATCCTCACCCTGCCTGGGGGAAGAGAACCTCCCCTGGGTGGCCCTGAGGAAGGGCATCATCGGCCACCTTGCCCTTCTGTGCGAGTGGTGTCGCCTGGCCGTCTCAGAGCCCCCCTGGGTCTCAGCAGCCAGGAGCCCAGCTGCGCCTTCAGGACCAGTGTACGCACCTTTCCTCCCCCTCCCGTCTGGCTCCCCTCTCCTGCCGGGTGTACCCCTGTTTCATGACCTCTGGTGACCTTCCCAGGAAGCAGCCCCATTTCCCCAAGATCACAGCCCAGGGCCTACCTCACCCTGTTTTTCCAGGCCTGGCTTGCTGGCCAGGCAGGGTAGGGGGTGGGGGGCCTTCAGGTCTCTGGTGCGCTGGACCCCTCCCCCACCCTGCTGGGCACCTGGCTCCTCTCAGCCACTGAGACCCCACTGTCCTTCCTTGCATTCTGTCCCCACTGGGCTCCACGTGACCTCTGCCTCCCAGGCCCCCCACTGGCTTTCTTCCCTGCCCACTGCCTTTGGTCCCTCCACTGGCCTCTGGCTGACGCTGCCCGGGAGGAGTGGGCGGGGCTTCGGTCTGGGCGGTGCGTGCGTGTGTCTGTAGAGTGTGCCACGGGGAGGAGTCAGCTGCCACGGTGAGTTCTGAGACACGGGGGGCCTGGGGGTCACAGGGGCAGGAGGGAAGGGTCTTCACTCTGTCATTCAGGGATAAAGTTTAATTTTATTTTTCTACACGTTTTGCCAGGTAAGGCATTTTGCTGATAAGCAGGATGTCCCCAATTCTCCCTGCTAGGGAGGTTTCATTTTTTTAAGCTTTGGGTGCTTTTTTAATAATTATTTTTAACATGTGGGGAAGGAGACTGTGCTGACTACACTCTCCCCCTCCTCCCCACTCCTGTCCTGAGAGCTCCCCATGCTGTGCCCCACCCCGGCCCCCCCAGAACGTGGGGAGCAGGTGGGGCCGGGCCAGGACTTGAGTCCAACTGCCACAGGGTTCCAACTGGGAGATGGTGCCTCTCAGTCCCCATTTGTACGGTGGGTGTGTGTGTCGTTTTTTTAATTTTATTTTGTGCTTAACCAAACCAAACTCCATTCCCAAACGCCCTTCCTCGCCGGCTCCTCTCCCAGCCGGGCCAGCCTGGCCTCTCCTGCCCGACCGTGGTCCCAGCACCCCGAGGGGCAGGGGACAGGCAGGGGGGAGAGGCTTTTGCTTTTGTCTCAAACAGAAAACACAACCTTATTTTTCTTTACAAAAACAAAAAAGGAAACCAAAAAAGATACAACCTTTGAACTGTGCCTTGCTGTCTGGTCTTCATTCTCGTCTGCGGGGGGCTCTGGCCGGCGGGGTGGGGAGCGCCTGTGCCCTGGAAGAGGCTTAGCCCCTTCAGCGCAGCCTGTCCCAGCTGGCAGCCCCAACTGCAGAGGCAGGGGTCAGCGTGTGACAGAGACCGTGTCTTCCCCAAGCCTACTCAGAATGGCCCTGGGATCGCCCTGCCTGGGCCAGGAGGCTGCAGGGGGTGAGATTTTGGAGATGCACCAGCCCCCTGCTGAGCAAGGCGGGGGCAGGTTGGGGTGGTGAGGGACGGGCCTCCTGGGTGTCACAAGCACAAGTCCTGGGCTCAGGCAGTCCAGTGACTGTGGGGTGGCCACAGTCTCTTGGCTTCACGGGATGGCCACCCAGGGCTGCTGTGGGGACGATTAAGTCCCAGCAGGATGCAGAGGGAGCCCCGAACAGGGTGTCACCCCACGGGCCCAGTGCCCTCCAGGCCAGGTGAGCTCCCAGGGGACCACAGGTGATCTGAGCCCCACCCCAGGGCAGGTGGGGGCAGGGCCTGCTTGCCGCACCCAACAGCTGCCCCCAGGTGGAGCCACCAACCCAAGGGTCCTCGAGATATTTCCTGGGGGGCTCATCCCACTCTCTGTGAACCTGAGGCTCAAAACAAGTCAGACGCCCACCCAGCCCCTTCTCCAGGGCTCCTTCCCCTCCCTGGCGCGGGGAGCAGTGGGGCACGGCCCCACTCGTGTTGTTTCCACGAGGGAGCCTCCCTCAGGGTATATGGGACCTTATCAACACCATCTATTTTCTTATAAAAGGGAAACGCATTTACTATGGAAAATCTAGAGATACAAGAGAGCAAAAAAGAAAGTGCCCCATACTCCCGCCATGAAACTACCAGTGTCTGGTCTTTGTCCCGTGTTCCTTATGGAAATGGGGTCTCCCTGTGCCGATCTTCATGTGACTATTTCTCACCTGACAAGCCACGAAGGTGTTTCCCTGTCACTGAGCCTCCGCGTGGCCCTGAGCACCGAGGCCAGTCTCCCCGTGCTGCTGAGCTGCCCACAGGCAAGTTCTCTGCCCTTGCAGCCAGCCTCTGGGGCACCTATTTTTCTCAAGAGTCTCGTCCTTCTATCAGAGGTTTATCAAGATTCAAAAGCTTTTTGTGTGTTGCCTCGTTGCATTCCAGAAAGGTAGGATGAGTTGGGTGTTTTGAGACAGGGTCTGGCTCTGTCACCCAGGCTGGAGCGCAGTGGGGCAGTCATGGCTCCCTGCAGCCTCGAACTCCTGGCCTCGAAGGATCTTCCCGCCTCAGCCGCCCAAGGTGCTGGGATCACAGGTCTGAACCACCATGCCCATCGGTTTGTTTTTGTTTCTTAAAAAATCCTAAGCTGACTTTTGCTTTGAAAAGCTGCCCCTCTCTCTGCCTACCCGTTGGCAAAAAAAATTTTAAAAAGAAAAGGAAAAGCTGCCCCTGGTTATCAGACACGTTCCAGGGGGGCGGAGGGTGGGAGGGGAAAGATGATCAGAAGATCCCAGTCCCCAGTAAAATTAATAAAGAAGGTTTTTAGTCCAGCTGCAGGGAGGAACTTGGGGGAGGGGTGGAGAGAGGCGGGCAGGGTGCCTGGCACCACCCCCCCTGCACAGAGAGGCTCTGTTTTCATATGTGGGGCTCCAACCGAGTCTTTACGTTGGAAAAGTTCTGATTAAAATTTAAAAGTTCAAGCCAGCACAGCGGGGTGGCTCATACCTGTAATCCCAGCATTTTGGGAGGCCTTGGTGGGAGGATCACTTGAGGCCAGGAGTTCAAGACTAGCCTGGGCAGCACAGCTAAACAAGACCCCATCTCTACAAAAAATGATAGATGTGGTTCAGAAGCCACTGCTAGCCCACCACCCTCCTTACCACCAGGCTGTGTGACACCTGGGCCCCTGTGCACCAGGAGAGAAAGGGCCTAGATGACCTGCCTTCTGAGGGATGATCAGAGGCAGGAGCCCAGTAGGGGACACCTGCGGGATCTAGAGTGGCTCCACCATTGCAAAGTACTTTTGGGGATAGCAACTCAGGATATTTTGCTATGTAGGGGTGAAAGCAGGGAAAGTTGTTTTCAGTCCTTAATAGGCTGGGCTGTAGTCAGCTCAGCTTTGGGGCCAACGTGGAGTTTTCTGCGCATGGTTTTGCTGGCCGTGAGCCTGCGACGTCCAGCCCCCATTCACCAGGTGAGACCGAGCTGGACCACAGCGTAGGAGGGGAGGGACCTGGAATTCCCACAGGTTCCTTCCTTAGTTCATCCCTCGTTAGCCAGATGTGTGCAGCTGTTATTACGGTGCCCCCAGAGTGCCAGGCTGTGCTTGGAATTCACGGTGAGCAAAACCAAGCGATCCCTGTCCCAAGGAGCTTACCTGGCGTGGGGGAGGCAGGCTTGGGCAAGCACAAATGGCGATGTGATCATACACTGAAAGTGCGGCAGAGTGGGAACAGTGGGGGTGGGGGGGAGCTGAAACTTTAAGGCAAGATGGGGGAGGCCAGTGTAGGTAAGAGGAAGTGTTCGTGCAAAGGCCCTGGGGCCACAGGAACTGAAAGGCTAGTGTGGCAAGAACCACAGGAGCAAGGAAGAGGAGGGCAGGGGCCATCCATGGAGTTCCTCTCAGCCACATTAGGGATTTTGTCTCATCCTAAGAACAAAGGGGAATCCAAAGGTTCAGAAAGGGAATGACAGGAGCAAACTTGGTTTTTTTTTTTTTTTACTTTCCATTTTGCAGATGAAAGCAACCTTGGTTTTTAAAAGCCACTCAAGGCTGGGCGTGGTGGCTCACACCTATAATCCTAGCACGCTGGGAGGCTGAGGCGGCGGATTGCTCGAGGTCAGGAGTTCGAAACCACCTGAGCAAGGAGCGAGACCCGTCTCTACTATAAAATAGAAAGAAATTAATTGGCCAACAATATATGTAGAAAAAATTAGCCGGGCATGGTGGCACATGCCTGTAGTCCCAGCTACTCTGGAGCTGAGCAGGAGGATCGCTTGAGCCAGGAGTTTGAGGTTGCTGTGAGCTAGCGCTGCGCCACGGCACTCACTCTAGCCTGGGCAACAAAGTGAGACTCTGTCTCAAAAATAAATAAATAAATAAAAATAAAAGCCACACTGAGCATGGAGCTGGGGCTGGGAGAGCCCAGAATGAAAACAGGAGCCAGCAGGGGCGGCTGTGGGGCTCAGGAGGGAAGATAACAGGACAGAGGCAGAGTGACTCAGGTGTCTTCAGGGAGAACCTACAAGTCCCTGACCTGAGGTGGTAGGAGAAGGGCGTCCACGTTGGCCTCTGGATTTTGGGCACACACAGTGGGCTGGGTGGAGGTGTCCCTTCCTCCCCGAGGGAGACCAGAGGGGGGACAGGGTGGGGCTTAGGTTGTAAATTTGGCTTTGAGCATTTGCACTGGACCCTTTAGAGGCATCCACAGGAGTCCTCTGCTTGAGGTCCCCTGCCTGGGGCCCCACCAACTGCACGCAGGCACCTCTCATACTCAGGTCCCACTACCCAGCCACCCCCACGTCCTCTGAACGGGTCCCCATAGTCTTCAGTGTCTGCTGATGGCTTCCATTAGCCACGGGAGGGGGGGCTGCCTCATGCGACGGCTGTGCCTCCCCCTCTGGAATGTGATTTCCAGGACAGCAGGGACCTTGGCTCTGAACTACTGATGAATGAACAGGTGAAATGTCCCTGAGCCATTGCACAGCCACCTCCAGGTCTCAGCGCCGGGGGGAGGCGCAGGAGGGTTACACTCGGGGGCTCCTGGCATGAGGAGGTGAGCTGGCTGAGGCGGAGGTGCGAGCTCCTGGCTTTGGGGCGCTCACTGGGGAGGACAGGGCTGGAGAGGGGGGCAGGGGGAGCTGGGACTGCGGTGAGACCAGATCCTGAGGGATCTTCCCTCGGGGATGGCGACTCCGGCACGTTCCCTCTCCAGAGACTCAGCACCACTGTCTCTCGGCCCCCACTTGATGTTCCGGGCAGGCGGAGGCACCCTGTCCACTGGGCTAACACTGCTGCGGGGTGGAGGAGACAGGACTAAAGGAACAGTCACAAAAATGAATCACAGCTGTCACAGGAGCCAGCTGGTGGCTACTTGGGAGGTTGAGGCAGGAGGATCACTTGAGGCCAGGAGTCCAAGCCCAGCCTGGGCAACATAGCAAGACCCTGTCTCTAAAAAACAAACAACTAGTCGAGAGAGACAGTGCAGGCCAAGAGTCAGCTGAAGCTCCTTCCCACCCTGAAATTCCAGGACCTGGGGGGGGCGGGGAGGGCGGCTCTGGGTGGGTGTGCCTGGGGCGGCAGACGCAGAGGGGGCAGTTGCAAAGGCCTGCATGACACAAGCTTTGACCCTCCTGCAGTGAGCTGGGAGCTTCCCCAGGCTGTGAGGGCCACTGGGGTATCCGGGAGCAAGGAGGGAGGCATCTCCAGTCTCCTGCTGGGAGACATTGGGGAAACTGAGTCTGATGTGCCGTTTTGCTTCCTTGGGTCTGTGTCGGGGAAGGTGCCTGCGCCACCCACACTCTGATGGCCTGCGTGGCTTAAGAGTAGGGTGGGGGTACAGGTCCTCCCCCACCCCCTCTGTCTGGCAGGGGTGAGTGGGGCAATGGACATCTGTCAATGTCTGGCCTGGCCCCGCTGAGCTGCCATAACCCTAAACACAGGCAGGGGGTCCAGGCCGTGTCTGGGGGCTTCAGGCAGTGGGGAGTGGGGTCGAATACCGAGGGGCCCAGCCCTGGAGGCACCTCTCGGGGGCGACAGGTCCACTACCCAGCCTGATGCAGGGACACGGAGCCAGCAGGTGGCTGGGGGCCTCTCGGGAGCAAGATCATACCTCTGACCTCGGGGGCCGCAGGCAGACCCCGCACTGCTGCTGGCTTTTGACCCTAGAAGATCCAGAGATGAAGTTGCCACTGACCCTTGACATTTTTCCTGCTCCCCTAAAACCAAATAAGGACCATTAATCACGCTTAGGAGCTGCTCGTGAGCGTGTTGGC